AACTATAAAACCAACCAACCAACCAAGGTTCATTCTTAATCCTACAAGATTTGCCTCCCATGTTGAGTAAATTTCTACATAATGTATTATGCTAAAATTATCAGTATGAAGAAAAAAAGATTTTCTCAATAATTTCTGGGAAAACTGTATATAGAGGCGGTGTGGTAGCCTTGTGGCTAAAGTGTTCGCTCGTCACGCTGAAGACCCGGGTTCGATTCCCCACATCGGTACAATGTGTGAAGCCAATTTCTGGTGTCCTCTGCCGTGATGTTGCTGGAATATTGCTAAAAGCAGCGTAAAACTAAACTCACTCACTATTCATATGTCATTATTGACGTTTGAAATATTATAATCTTGCATTTTAAAACAATGTGAAATTTAAATTTCTATTTAATTTGTGTTTCCCACCGAGTTCACTGTGCGGAATAATACGTGATAAAATACAATGGCACAAAACGGCCGTCTAAACTGAAGGGACTATAACGCCCCTTTCAGTGTGTGAAGTAGGCGCTTAACATTCGATTATCCACGCAGTAGAAATCACACTGTAAAACTTAGGTCCCTTCCTTTCCTTGCAAATAGCGGCAAGTTAAACTGTACGCGAACTGCTGTCTCCCGGGAATGTCGGATCATTTGATTTATCATTGTCATACAGTCAAAAGAAATCTACCCGTGAAGATCCGGGTAGAATTGGTTCTCAATAGCCACGTGCTTGTCGTAAGAGACTAAGGGCGGTGGGGTAGCCTAGTGGTTAAAGCGAAGGCCCGGGTTCGATTCTCCATATGTGTACAGTGTGTGAAATGCATATCTGGTGTACCCCGCCGCGATATTACTGAAATATTGCTAAACGCGGCGTAAAACAACAAACAAACAAACCAAAAATAAACTTTTGAGAAGGGACTACAGGTTTTGAACTGGTTTAAGACATCCGTACTATTACAAGGCGTCAAGCTTATGTTCAGTAGCCATGAAAACTGACGAAACCACGTGGTTGGTTTTTTGTTGATTTAGAATTCAAATACATATCTGTCATAAGGACCACAAAATCGCATTCGGGATTCGCGAGAAGTCTGTTTTCTCTTGAAGTGTGGGTAAGTCGCTCACCTAGATTTCTACAGATAACCGCTAAAGATTGCATGGTACCCGTGAAGGTCCGGGTTAGAATATTGATCTTCAGTAACCCATGCTTGTCGTAAGAGGCGAGTAACGGGATCGGGTGGTCAGGCTCGCTGACTTCGTTGACACATGTTATCGGTTCCCAATTGCGCAGACCGATGCTCATGTTGTTGATCACTGGATTGTCTGGTCCAGACTCGATTATTTACAGACCGCTGCCATATAGCTGGAATATTGCTGAGTGCGGCGTAAAACTAAACTCACTCACTCACTCATATCGGTATGAGTCATGCAATATTTCATATATACCGGGTGGTTTTCTTTCACTGTTGAAAACCCAGTTTATAGCACTGATGGCGGTTGGGTAACTTGGTGGTTAAAGCGTCCGCTCGTCATGCCGAAGACCCGAGTTCGATTGCCAACATGGGTACAATTTTTGGAGCCCATTTCTGGCGTTCCCCGCAGTGACATTGCAGGAATATTGCTAAAAGCGGCGTAAAACCATACTCTATCACTCAATTATGGCATTGAATGGGGTTGGGAGGATTACAATTTTCCTGTTTTGCGACATGTACTTGCTATCTCTTTGTAGTTGCATCCGTGTCAGGTCTTTGACAAGTAAATATTGGAATAATTCATAAAAGGCCCCAGCTTGCTACTATCAAAGTATCTTTACCGCATATTAGGTTGTGGGGTTATTTAGGTGTCACACACAGGGTCATTGACATATATACTACTCACACTTTGCTAAGGATCACAAAAATTCGCTACTTTACTTAAACGTAGATTTATAATTTGAAATTGTATCCACTTAAAACTGGATTAATATTGATATGGTAACACATCTTTAGGAAAACAGCCACTTTAAGCTGACCGTATGCACTTGATACATGAGTAACTCTAAGAATGGTTTTCATGGCACCAACCAACCATTTTGCAAATCATAGCACGGGTCGTTGATAAGTACACAACACCTGTCAATAGAAGGTAGGGGATCCACAAGATGCAGTGACATACTGAAAACTTGGATCCATGCTTACAATAAGCTTAGATATTTAATCCAAATTTGACCCCACATCATACTTTTCTGTTGAATCAATGATTTGATCCTTAGCAATGTGTGAATAGTATATTTCGACAAATTTAGAGGCAATATTCAACAGTCGGTCGGATAATAATAATCCAGTCAAAATTTTGTAAATACCCTTGAAGACATCAAGTTTTTGTTATAATTTCTTTCTAAAATGACAGACGTTTCATAGAATTTATCTATATTTCCCTTGTCAAGTGATTCTGATTGACGAAGTTCTTAAAATGGACAATTAAATCTTAAAAGTACGACCTCCCGCTCTATGATTTTGTATAAAACGTACATTAAACCATTGGATATGAAATAGAAACAGCAGGAGCTTGATATACAGGAACAGGTTTATGTCGTAGTAACGTTAATATCCATTTGACAACGTTGTTGAAATGGCTTTTTTCGTGGGAACACACCCCAATGCAACTTCAATATTGTCCCAAACTGTGTACAACCATCTTCACTTAATAACTTATATCAAAAGCCCATATGGCCACTTCTTCGCAAGTTTTAAATGACACGTGTAACATGCAAGTGGTGTCTGTATTTATTCTTCCACGAACAAACTTCAGTGAATGGGAAGTCACTGTTGCCGTATCGACTGGAATTATTACAGAAACGTTTCTTTGCTCAAAACGTCAAATCACTGAGAGTGTATGGCTTGTATGAAGATGAACAATCTCATGCTGGATTTTCTTTTACAAAAACCGGTGGTGTTCTGGGACAAGGGTTTCAAATAATCCTTATCACGTGTTGGCATAAGAATACACTCAGCAATATGGCGGCTGTCTGTAAATAATCGAGTCTGGATCAGACAATCCAGTGATCAACAGCATGAGCAGCGATGTACGCAATTGGGATACGATGACATGTGTCAACGAAGTCAGCGAGCCTGACCACCCGATCCCGTCAGTCGCCTCTTACGACAAGTATGGGTTACTGAAGATCAATTCTAACCCGGATCTTCATATAAAATATGTCGGTTTGCCATTATCGATGAAGAGCTGATTGCTTGTCATCACCCCCCGACTGAGTATTACGACATATCGACCATGTATAATCCGGTCCATGCACGAGTATTTGCTGGCCATAGTACTGGCTGGTGTAACAACAAGCAGAACATACAGTGGTTGTCTTCAAAGTTGATTGTTTGGGGGTTTCATTTTTCGTGCCCTAGATACGCATTTTCGTGGTCTCAGGAACCAGATATAATATGCAACGACATTTGTTCTGTTCTGTTAATCAGAATATATGTGGGTAAGAGCATTCATTACCCTCCAAACAAATTGGAAGATGGTTTATTGGTACATTTGAAACGGTACTGAAAAGTTTCACTTTTAGTACGAATCCATTTTACCCTGTTTCAGCGGGCAGTATGAATGACCTTGACAATTTGCGACCTTTGGCATTGAAATCCAATTCGCTTGGAGATTTCGACTATTATTATTATCACGAAAAGGTCTTTTTTATCAACAATATTTTGAGAATATGATAATTGTTATCTATGTTGAGGAAAGAGATTGGACCTAAATATATACTACAAACAAAAAGGATTGGAACACCCTAAAATTTGATAGTCATATATAATCTTAAATGTGGTGAGGTCATTTATACTCTAAGGTATATGCAACTTTTTTGTGTGCTTAATGGGCACTTTAAACGACATGTTGGAACATGCAGTGAAGCAACTGGTTCAATATTCCTTGAGTTTCAGTGAAATGAAACATTGTCAAAAACAGCGAAGTACAAGGGTTTTGAAACACACCAGGACTATGTTTGATTCAAACGCCCAAACCCAACTGCCTAGTGTATGTGGAAGACAGACTTCCCATGCAGTTTGTGGCAACGCTTCCTTTAAAAGAAGCTACAGACAGTATTGAAGCCTCACAACTTCTTCACCATGCCAAAGTGCATACCGTTAAGCGCCCACCACAGAAGCAGGGCCATTGCGTGGTTACAGGATGGTGTTGCTCGCCGTCTTCAGGTGTCTCCCTCTGTCATGCACAGACTGATGGACAGGTTCCAGACCACTGGTAGAGTACAGGACAGACCTCGATCTGGAAGACCCAGAAAAACGCCACGGGCAGATGACCGATATGTTCTGCTCCAAGCCCTTCGGAACGGATTCACAACTGCCAGTGCCCAGATGCCACAAGCTGCATGGGAAGTCTGTCTTCCACATGCAGTAGGCTGTTGGGGTTTTAGGGGTTTGAATCAAACATGGTGTTGGTGTTTCACATTTTAAGGTGTTCACATACTTTTTGTTTGTAGTATATATAGTAAACGGTGATATTATCTGAAAAAACAATTCCCTAAGCCTTTTTTAGCCAAGAAGAAATATGCTCCTTTGAATATCGTTCGATAATGTTCGTCTGCGACAATCAAGGGGAGACGCTATGCGTTCCATAAAAGTAGAATAGAAATGAAAACTGTTCCGGAAACCACACGAAAGGCAACTTCGGCTTCAGGAAATACGTAGTCAGCCGGGCCGTACCATTCCATACTCCGTTACAAATAGGCGTGTAAATAATAATTTGAAGTGTGTGACTGTCACATGTATTGCTACCTGTATATTTGTTTGTTTAGGTACAATGTACAAGGTACAATGTACACATACCAGGTTCAAGTCAGGAAGCGCCGGTAATCGAAGAATCAGTATTGATGACAAACAACGGGCACGTCATGGAGACGTACTCACCAATCCAGCTGTCGCCTCTGCAGCAATTCGGACTGGACATGGATCCCAGTCTGGTTCCATACGAATCTCGTGTTTTTCAAACTAAAAATTATCAATAGATATTGCTAATAATCAAACAGAATTTAATTCCTTCGTGATCATTACAAAGCCAGAACAAAATCATCCAACGATTCTACTCTACTTTTGTAAAGTACGGAAGGTCCTGCAGACTTACAGGATAATCGATCCATATACCACCATCCACTATTTTTCCTTTGAGTTCGTCACGCCATCTACCGGCTGGTAAATATATTCTCCTGGTTGTGGCCCGTTGTTCCAAGACGGGTGCAACAAGGAGGTCGTCCCCGATGAGAAACTGATCATCCACGGTCAGGGCTGTCTCATCAGTCGGCGCTATCCACCATAGGGGTCTCATGATGGGGTACCCTGTGGTGACTGAGTCGTTGGCCAGACCAACCATTTTGTCGGCGTACTTCTCATGGAGTTGCACCATATCTTGAGCTACTTTCAAAACAGTTGCATTATCGGCCTTCCATGGAGCGAGTGAGAACTGCATCATAGGCATGAGGGCATTGGCTTGTATCCAGCGAATAAATAATTCAGGGTCAAGGGTATTGTGGTAGCTATTTCCACCAATTAAATCAGGCAGCACGTATGGATACCCGATTATACCAAACACCAAACCTGTCGTGACTATTGACCTCAACCCATCATCCAGAGTCCACGTTGAAAGTTTGTCCAACATTCTTACCATGACAGGAAGGTTTTGAGTTCTTGCACCTGTTCGAACCTCTATTCTGTGACTTTTGTCACTCTGCTGGGCAACAGTAGCGTACAGTCGTGTCAGATGGTTCCGATTGACAAAGTCCTGGTGTGATCTGAATACTGGTGGCAAATAGTTTACATCGCCTGCATCAAATTTGAAAGAATCAATCCCATATGTTGTCTTGAGTGTGTTAAGTTCGTCCAGAAACCACTGCGCCGCATCAGGATTGCTGAAGTCGATGTGTCCAGCCATCGGTCCATTCCACCAAGACGTCAGTGCAGGTCTTGCTCCAGACACATCTTGAATCATCCATCCTTTGCTTGCCAGATAAGGAAATGCCTTGGCGTCGATATTAATGAAAGGATGGATCCACAATGTCACAGAAATGTTTTGCCTATGCATAATGTCCACAAGATTCTTGGGATCAGGGAACGATGTTTCATTAAACTCTAAATCACCATACCTCACCGTCCAGTCGTCATCAATTTCAACCTGAGATATTGACAGGTTATTTTTCTTGATGTTACTTACAAATGCTACAACCTCAGATTGGTTGATCTGAGCTTATACTCGGCCCATGTAGACCATATAGGCTTTCTGAACAGATCAGGATTAACCGTTGCTGAGGGTTTCTGAATGTATCTGTCTGCCATCACTCTATATATACTCTTTACATCAGATGCTGTGCATATCGTGTAATTAAGCCATGGCAAGGAATTGTTTCTGTTTAAATAGAAGTAGTTGTCCAACTTTGACTGAAAGCAGAACATGTTATCACCAGTTGCGTTAATACTGACGAACAAAGGCACATCTTCGTCAATATGGATCCCTATTCCTTTTGACGAGAAGAAGATTCTCTCTTGGACAGGTCCATAATCACCAGTGGCGAGGGTGTCCTGAGCTATATAGGGAGCCATGTCATGCTGGACTTTCTCCAGTGGCCATCGCTGGAGCCGGAGTTCCGGTCCGCCATACCAGTGTGCGTCCCCAAAGGGGAAACAGTCAGTAAAAGTCTCAGTTACACAGGATAGGGCACGCCATGACACATCAATGCAGTCGTTGTCGTGATATTGGTAATGCTTAACCTTCAGATCTGACAACCCGGGTTCTTTGAAAATCAAATATGTGCTGTCATTACTCTGATGGACCAGCTTGTTGACAGAATGCATCCCGAGATTGCCTTTCAGTAAATAGCGTCCGTCTTTGTCCTTAATCTTCAGTATTGTGGACTCTTTTCCAACGTCAACTGTAATTTTCCCAATATGAAACATTCGATTGTGGACATCAGACCAAGTTGATTCAAATATCTCGCCCTGAAAAAAACCCAAAACATTATGCTTGAATGCTACGTAATAGGTTTTTAGCAAAGACATTCTGTGAATTTATGTCAGTATTGTGTCAAAACAGTGACTGTTTAGCAACTCCACACCTTGGTTGCTGGAGACAAACAGACAATTGCTCTTAAATGCATATGTTATTACCTGCAAGCGTGAAAATGTGTATATACATCGCACTTCTTAAATCTAGAAAGAAGAGACCTTGTCTTGAATTGACATTACTTGTTCATCCTAATGGACCCGTTTTCCCTTGGCAGATCAGAATCCAAATAAATCACATTTGCAAACTGCCATTTACTTGGTGCAAGTCTACTCCAGATTTGTGACATCCTTAACGGACATGACGTCATGTATCCACATATTCATTGTAATACGTTTTTCTATATTCATAATCTTTTCCAATTTTTACTCTGATTTCCAATGCAAGTGGTTCTGTTTTACCATACTTTGCAATGTCCTGCTGTGTTTAAACTACAATTGTACCTTGGTTGCAGGTGAGGTCTCGTGGCCCGTTCCCCAAGCACCTGCTGCTAATGAGGACACAAGGACAAAAAGAATGCTGGGATGTTCAGTGAAGACCATCATGAATGCCAACAGCACCTGGACAAACAAAATAAATTGCAATGACTATCTAAGACATTTGTTTTTAGTTGTTTTATGTGTGTGTGTGTGTGTGCGTGTGCGTGCGTGCGTGCGTGCGTGCGTGTTTGTGTGAATATTAAACATAACTTTGATGCAGTTAAACTGGAAAATAGCTTGTCCCAGTACTTTCACAAAACACCTCAAGGAATGTTAAATGGTATGTACCTTACATTTTCTGACATTTTGACAATTCTTAATGTAAACGTCGTACACGTACAACTGAATCTCAAGATGGTTGTTGAAAAACACAGGTTCAATAGATCCCCATTAATGGAAAATTAATTGTAATTGTGTACTGCTGCATCTCTGTGTGTTAATGGTAATGTAAGTTGTTGGAAATGAACTGACCTTTCTCTGAGAGTTTACCCTTTCAGTTTGAACCAACTGTAGTCGATATATCTGTTGACCAAGCTAACAGTTTCCACCTACAATTTACTTGACTGACAAAGATAATGCTAGAGCACCTGTCAAGTAATCTACAAAGTGGGTTTATCAGAAAATATCCTTGTTAAACCCTGTTAACATTGTTTGCGGCGAAAATTGGATCAGGTGATGATACAAAAAATAATGTTAATTATCCACGCAAATAATTTGATGAATGCAAATATTGATGTTGCCAATTCACCAAAGGTATCCAATATCTTTCACAATGCAAAACCAGATTCTTCCAGAAACAAAAAAAAATGCGTTTTAGTTTTACTCACAGCAGCTTATATGAAAGAGTGGTCACAAATAGAATAATTAAGTAATTTTTTTCCTTGAGAAGAATAGGCTTCTCTTTGGCATCTGAAAAGGGACGTTCCGATCATCATGTATAGGTTATAGGTGTTTTATTTCGTAACATTTGAAATGTTTAAGTGAGATATTTTTCTTTACATGGCATCAACATCTGTCGCACTTCACAACGACGGAGTATAGGTATTTGTCGTTTATTTATCTTGAATGAAAATCTTAAAGGTACGACTTGAATAATTTTGAAGATTAGCAAAAGAGACGGCTTATCTTTGACATATTTGTGTAAAAAATGACCCATTTCTCAGTGACAAAACAGGTGTCACAGCTTGATCCGTTTGTCTTATCTCCTCGGGCGTCCATAAGACATAGGAACGTGAGTATAGCATTAAAGCTTTCATTTTGTGTGTGCTATTTGTGCATTAGACTCAAATAATAGTGAGAGAGTACTATGCCTTTTACGCAGCTCTGAACAATCTTCAAGATATAACTTAAAGAGAGAGACAAGACATCGTTGTCATACTTTGTACTAATGTGTTTGAATGAAACCGATGCTTTCAGCGTGATGATAACCCATAAAATCATTGTCTTGTCAGCTGACAGTTAATACATGTGTGTGTTTACCTTTGTGTACAGAATATAACATTACAAACACCCTATTAAACTCATAATCACACACGCTCAGTTGGCGATAGTGAATTGAAACCATGGCACAATTATATACGGTATCCTACAACCCCTGACTAGAAAGTTGTTTATTTGGCGTACTTTACTTGTTACTTGGCATTTCCTATTCACCATTAAATACCAGTTGGTTTGGGTTGTTTTAATTTCAGGGTAAGGTTGCCGTGATATGGATCGTTTAATGTTTCCCAAGACACCAAGTTTATCGTGCATACTTCTTCTGGCGGCTGCCATCATTCATGGAACCGTGGAATCAAACCAGCAAAGCCGTTTCACCAATCGCGATGACTCAGCCAACCCAGCATACAAATTTGGACATATTACCGTTGACGTTGCCGTTCAGCCTATGGAACTGACGTTGGAAAACACTCATGGCCGCAGTGCCCTTGTGACACAACTTGGAACTGACTTTCTATCAGTATCACCTACAATACAACGTCGTGGAAATGCTCTCAGCATTGAGGTCCCCAAGGCTGCAGATCTGACAATACGAGAATACCATTACAAGAACTCTGACTGTGTGGATGTGACGTGGTCAGCTACTAGCTGCGTCACAGAGGTCCTCACTGATTGCATTCAGCTGGGACAAAGTCACTGGTATGGTGGTTCCGAGCTCAGAGAACAACTCTGGCCACTGGAAAAGGTTGCCATGGCCATGAAACCCTACTTGGCGATGGATCACATCAACGAAGACAAGTACGGTCCTGTTCAGGAACGGATGTTCTTTAACTCAGATGGACATGGAATTTATGTTGAGGAAGACATTCCACTGTTTGTTAGCATCAACGCCACTGGGGACAATAAAATTTGTCTTCAGGCTAAGTATGATGAATATTGGTATTCAAGTGGTGGCGTCAATCTACCAGAGCTGAACTACACAGTGTGTACCGCTCCGGATGTGAGGAGTATCCATAAACTTATGTCAGACAGATACATCAAGAAGCCAGAAGGTACTCCAAGTCCCCTGCTATTTCGTGCACCGATTTGGTCAACGTGGGCAAAATATAAAACAAAAATCAACCAGTCATTAGTAGTGGAATTTGTCGATGATATCAGGAAGCATAACTTTCCTGTATCTCAAATTGAAATTGATGATGTATGGACCCCAAAATACGGTGACCTGGATTTCGACCCAGTTACATTCCCCGATCCAAAGGCCCTTGTGAATGCAATGCACAGTCAGAACATTTCCGTCACTTTGTGGGTTCATCCTTTCATCAACATCAACGCCAAAGCATTCCCCTATCTGGCCAGCAGAGGGTGGATGATCCAGGATCTACTTGAGGAGAGTCCTGCTCTGACATCTTGGTGGAATGGCCAAAATGCTGGGCATATTGACTTCAGTAACTCAGATGCTACACAGTGGTTCCTGAACGAAGTTTCTCATTTAAAGTCATCGTACGGAATTGATTCATTTAAATTTGATGCAGGTGATGTGAATTACTTGCCTCCGATCTTCAAAGCCAAGAAAGATTTTGTGAATCGCAATCACCTAACACGTCTGTATGCTACAGCTGCCTATCAGAGCGACACGACAGAGAAAAGGCAAGAAGTTCGAACAGGTATTAGAACTCAAAACCTCCCCGTCATGGTGAGAATGCTGGATAAGTACTCAACCTGGACATTCATAGCAGGGTTTAGATCCACCATAACGTCAGGCTTGATGTTTGGTTTACTTGGGTATCCATTTGTTCTTGCTGATTACATTGGAGGCAATAGCTACAACGCCTACCCAGACCCTGAGCTTTTTATTAGATGGGTGCAAGCCAATGCCCTCATGCCACTCATGCAGTTCTCTCTGGAACCCTGGGCATACAGCAACAGCACCGTGCTAGAAGTGGCTCAGGACATGGTTAAGCTGCATGGAAAGTATGCTGATAAGATCATAGGTCTAGCGAATGACTCTGTCACCACAGGGTACCCCATAATGAGGCCCCTATGGTGGATAGCGCCCACAGATGAAGCAGCCCTGACTGTGGATGATCAGTTTCTGCTCGGTGATGACGTATTGGTGGCACCTGTTGTGGAACAAGGGGCGACAATGAGAAGAATTTATCTTCCTGCCGGTAGATGGCGCGATGAACTAAAGGGACAGACACAAGATGGAGGGAAATGGATCGACTATCCTGTAACCTTGCGAGACCTTCCGTATTTCACTAAATTGCCTTAATGTTGGTATTCAGTTGTAACATAACAACCACTTTGTAATGAAATGAAAATGAAGCGATTTGTGAAATTCATTCTTAAACATATGGGTTGTCGGCTACCCTGCCAAAATGTCAAATTAATTCAGGAATTTATTAACCTAAATATAAAAATGAAAATGTAAGGTGAGCTCAGTCAAATGGATGGAAATAGAAACGTTGTTGAACCATTACAGCAAGGACATCTGTCTACCTGTGAAAGTCTCATCGTGTCTTCATTGATTAGAGAGAGCAATTCAAGGATACCCATTCTTTCGTAATTCTATAGTTACTTCAGATAATTATCCTTTAGTTTATGAAATAATATGTTGGTATTGTATGGTTTTTTGTTTTGTTTTTTGTCACTTTATTTCTTTTTGATTTGGGTACAGCATATCATGCACATTTAACAAGTCAGCATATTTGTTGCATTATATAGGAGTCAAATTACAAAGTCATTATCTATGTAAATAGATTGTGGTAAGACGACCAAAATGAAACAAAAGTGTCGTATTTGCAGTGAGAGTATGCATTAAATTTGTGTAATTGTAATTTAATTTTGGTTTCAGACCAGCGAGAGAAGGTACAATGTTTGCTACCTTTCTAGAATATACGTATTTTTTAGTTAATATGAAAATGAAATTCAGTACATCATTTCTTCTCTCTATGAATCCGAGAATAATAGTTTCTGTGTTTAATTTCAAATGGGTGTCTGTTTCATTTTCAATCCATTCTAGTAGATCTTGCCACAGCTTTTTGACATGTTTGCATTCATATAATAAATGAATGATAGATTCTATTTCAACATCGCAAAATGTACAAAGTGGTGATTCTATTAGTTTGTATTTATATAAATCTTTATTGGTTGTAAGGATCCTATGGAGAATACGGTATTGAAGCCATCTGTGCCTAGCACTATATGATCCTCGAAAGGGTATAAAATTATGTGTCTTCCATAGATTAAGAGTGATATTCATGTTCAATTCTTTTTCCCACTTACTTTGATAAAGCAGTTTTTGGTTTATAGCTTCCTTGTGAAGAAGCCTGTTGTAAAATATGCTACAACCTTTCTTAGCTTTGAGTAGTATTTCCAAATTAGGAGGAATAAAAGGTAAATCTTTCTGAATATTAATTTTGAACGAACTCTGTTTTGAATATGTTTTCAATGAAGATAATAATCCTGTATATTCAAGGAAATTTGTTTTAACCCCATACAGTTCTACTAATTCTTTATAAGAAAGAAATGTATTGTCATCTTTTAGGAAATCATTTATATATTTTACATTTGACTGTAGGTAGTGGTAATATACTACTGGTTTTCTCCCTATTGTTATCTTATCATTTGCCCATATGTACTGTCTGCTGAGATGGTCATTATCATATTTACTTTGTCCTTGTAATTCAGACCAGGCTTCAAATACGTCTTTCCAGAATGGGCTTATGAGTTTTGGAATATAATGTGTCTTCAGATACAATGGGGGGCGGTGGGGTAGCCTAATGGTTAAAGCGTTGGCTCGTCACGCCGAAGACCCGGTTTCGAATCCCCACATGGGCACAATGTGTGAAGTCCATTTCTGGTGTCCCCAGCCGTGATTTTGCTGGAATATTGCTAAAAGCGGCGTAAAACCAAACTCAGTCAGTCAGTCAGATACAATGGTGCCATTTCTATGGGGTTTTGTTTGCTCACTTATTGTGAAGTATATAAAAGATTATTTAATTTTGAGTCATGTACGAATAATCTTCTGATCCTTGATATTTTCTGGTACTTTTAGACCACCTTCTTGGTATGTTTTCTTGATATCAGACATCGTTTTATTCTATCAGGTTTACCTTTCCAAATAAAGGAAAAACATTTCTTTTGAAGGTTCTCTATTGTTTCTAATTTAGGGTTTGCTAGCGAGCTGAAAAGATGATTAAGTGTAGGTAAAATCAAGCTCATTAGAATAGTTATTCTTCCTAAAGGTGTAAGGTCTCTCAGAGTCCACATTTTCATTACTTTGTCAAAAAAGATTATTTTATCTTTATAATTCTTTTCCACCATTTCTGCTTTATTATGTTGAAATAGAATGCCTAAGAGTACAAATGGCTTTTGAGTCCAGTCAAGGTTGTATTCTCTGCAGTATTGCAAACTTGAATATTGTTTCGAACCTATCCAAATAAGTTTAGTTTTGTCAATATGTATTTTAAGTCCAGAGAAGGATGCGTATGTTTCAAGTACTTGTAATGTTTCCCTAAATGAGCGTCCAGACCCGTCTAAAATTATAGTTGTATCATCGGCAAAATGAGTTAGTGGGTATTCTAAATCAATCATCGTTATTCATTTTATCTTTTTGTTTTGTCGTAACATGTGGGCCAGGATTTCTGCTACTATGAGGAATATATACGGCGAGAGGGGATCACCTTATCTACAACCCCGAGTATTTTGAAAGAATTCCGATGGAAACCCGTTTACAAGAACACTAGAGTTTATGCTATTGTAGAATGTTTTTAGCCAAATTTTGATAGATGGTCCGAAATTAAAGAAGTCAAGACATTTCTCGCGATAAAGGACCATTCCACCGAATCGAATGCTTTTTCGAAGTCAATAAGTATCAAAAGTCCTGGTTTATTCGTATATTCTGTGTAATCCATAATGTCGTTAACCAGTCTTGTATATTTCTGCAATGTATCTGCCTTTCAACAATCCCTTTTAGTCTTCACTTATTATATTAGGAAGTATGTTTTTAATATTTGCTGATATCACGGCTGAGGCTAGTTATATCATATGTTTAATAGTGAAATGGGTCTGAAATTTTTCAGATGTTCCTTGATTTATCTCTTTTGGGGAAACATGTTATGAGCCCTTGTTTTTGACTTATAGATAGCTCACCCTTCCTATATGCTTCATTTAATGAATTGATTAGGTATTTATTGATGTCTTTCCAAAATAGTTTATAGAATTCAGATGTAAAACCAGATGGACCAGGGCTTTTTCATTTGTCATATTTTTCAATGCTGAAAGCACTTCATCGTATTGTATTTCGCCTTCAAGAATGGGCGTCGTTGTCAGATAATCTAGGTATTTCACTATCTTTGAATAAGAATTCTAGATCGACATCTTTGACATGCTTAGTGGTATATAAAGTTTCAAATTAGGTCTTTGCATGGTTGATAATATCCTTTGTTTCGCTTATTTGTCCGTCATCAGTTTCTAGCTTGGTTATTGCCCTGTTAAGAAATTCTGTTTTTCCAGAGATAAGAAGAATTTTGTTGGTTTTTCTCCTTTTTCATACCATTTTGCTTTTGATCTCAACATAATTCCTTCTGTTTTGTATTTATTTCATTCAAGTTGCTAATATTTTATTATATTAATTTCTTGTATCAATTTTGACTTAGTCTGTTCACTGTCAGTACTGTCTAATTTTATTCTTTCTATCTTTTTCTGAGATGAATATTTTATTGTGTGGCCTCGAATATTGCACATAAGTACTTCGAAAAACAATTGTTCATTTAACTTTAGTAATTTATGTCCATCTTCGTCTCGAGTGTGATATTGAAGTACAGTCTCATTAATAATACCTTTGATTTCTCGCACATATTTGGGATCATGTAACAAACTGTTGGTTAAATTTCCAGAAACCCTTTCCTTTCTCAAGAGATGTAAATTCAATATTTAACGATATTACTGAGTGATCTGATCTGTAACTATGTTCAATTTTAGAGCTAATGATAGATTTTTCCATATTTCTACTAACGAGAAAGAAATCTAAACGTGCTTGTTTCAAGGGTTTTCTCCAAGTATATCTTTTTACATCTAAATTTAATTCCCGCCAGGGATCATAACGGTTCAGTTCATCCATCATATCAAGTACAGCTTCTTTTGAATTGTTATTATTTATATGTAAATAATTGAAAGTATCTTTTGATTGATCTTGGACTAGATTGAAGTCACCACATATAATATTAGTTTCAGTTTCTAGACTTAGTATTTTATTTTTAATTTCATGATAAAAGTCGGGCGTATCTACATTTGGACCGTAAACATTTGTAATGCTTAATATCTCTTTCTCTGTTTTTATTTGAAGTATCAAAAAGTTGCCACTATCACTGTCTTGTATTTCTTTAAGAATTCCAAATTCAAAGTTATCTCTAAATAAGATAGCTACTCCTCTCGATTAACTGGTGTGCGAACTAAACCGGGCTTCTGAAGAGCCCCATTCTTATTTGATTTTTTTAGCAATATTTTCAGTAAAATGTGTATCCTGGATACAATAAATGTTACCTTTTCGTTGTTTCATATTTTCGAACACATCAATCCTCTTTTTTTCCATTATTCAAGCCTTGGCAATTTGCAGAGATGATGTCAAGTTTATGTGCCATAACGAGTCATTAAAAGTAAAGTGGCAAGTAACATAAATCTGATCAAAATAGGGTGGCATGCCAATAGCTGACCCAATTTTGGTGTGTCATAGAAACATTTTTTGAGAAATGAAAGTGAACATATATGATTTAACAACATAGATATAAAAAAATGAAAAAAAGACACACTGACCTCTGTCATTGTTCCAAGAAGAAATAGGGCACATTTACCCTCCCACATGATCATTCAAGTTTAAATGGAAATACAATATTCCTGCCATTATTGCAAAAAAAATCAGAAACAAAATTAATTTAAAAAAGAAACCATATTCTGTTGATTTGAGTTCACACATCAAAAGTAAAAAAACAATTCTGTATACAACGGTTTACCATAATATTCCTCAAAATAATAACCAAACCAAAACATGCTCACTGACCAGTGTTTAAAGTCAAAATCTATCTGGCACAGATCGCATAAAGTAACCCGCGGAAGAGCACTAATCGTAATACAACGCTTGCATTGCGTAATGTTCCAGTTACATGTAAAAAAAATGAGAAAAACACATATGGGTGTTTCGTTATATTCACATTATCAGACATGGAGGAGTGCCATGTTATTCGAAATAAAACGGTGGTATTATTCAAAATGATAACCAAACCAAAGCATACTCACTGAACAGAGTTCAAGGTAAAAATCTATCTGGCACAGATCGCATAAAGTAACCCGCGGAAGAGCACCAATCGTAATACAATGCTTGCATTGCGTACTGTTCAAATTACGACATGTCAAAAGTTTTTAAGAAAAACACATATGGGTGTTTCGTTATATTCACATTATCAGACATGGAGGAGTGCCATGTTATTCGAAATAAAACGGTGGTATTATTCAAAATGATAACCAAACCAAAGCATACTCACTGAACAGAGTTCAAGGTGAAAATCTATCTGGCACAGATCGCATAGAGTAACCCGCGAAAGAACACCAGTCGTAGTACAACGCATGCATTGCGTACTGTTCAAGTTACAACATGTCAAAAGTTTTAAGAAAAACACATATGGGTGTTTCGTTATGTTCACATAATTTCAGACATAGATGAGTGCTGTTACATGTTGTATAAAATCATAGTAATTCCAAAACACGTCGAAGTGTTTGAAAAGAAAATCCACACAGCACGGATGACAAAATAGTTCAGAAAGAACACCACTCATAATACAACGATTGCATTGCGTACTGTTCAGGTTACAACATTTCAAAAGTTTTAGAAAAAGAGTTTCGTTATATTCACATTTTTACAGACA